CCAGGACCCCATTCTGGGAATGAACTGGCTTGGGGCAGGCACTGTGCTCTGATTCTGGGGATTTCTCCCGGGGGAGCCTGCGTGAAAAGTTACAATCACTGAAGCAGCAGCTGGAGAATGAGCAGGGTTGGGGGCAGATGAGCCTTTCTAGAAGTCTGCAGAGCCCTGACAGAGGGAATGTTGTACTTAGTTCGTTCTTCCTTTATCAGCTCCCAGATCAGAGGTCTGGAGGAGGAGGAGGAGAAGGCGGATAAATAGCATCTCGTGTCTGGAGAGTCTCAAAAGACATTATCTCCTTTATAGTGGGAGCACAGATAAGTCAGGCAGGAAGTCAATCTCCATACCACGGCCTTGGGGAACGGCTCCCCTCACAGTCATCCCAGCTAGGCTCATGGTAACTGCACCTGCTCTGGGTGGTCAGGCCTCACAACTGAGACAGGGATGGAAGGGGGAGACTCAAAAGCGGAGGGATTAGGAAGGCGCTGTGAAAGGCTTCCTGGAGCCCTCTTCAAACTGGCCTTCCTTGAAAAGAATTCCACGCTGCCCAGGCTGACTCATGGTGACCTCATCCAGGTCAGAGGGGACTGTGCTCTCTCGGTGTTCAATGGCTGCTTCGGGGGAAATAAATGACCGAGGCCTTTCTTCCTCTGGGTGGACTGGAACCTCCAACCTGTCAGCAATTTAACCATTTGTAACACCCAGGAAATCTTCACTAGGGATCCCAAGTCAAGCCTGCAGTGACCCAAATAATTTCCCTCTGACTTCTCTGATTATAAGGATACAATAAGTTGGTTATTCATTCAATTAGCATATATTAAGGACCACTCTGAAAATGTATTTTATTAGGATCTACGGAAAGTTGTGGTCACTGCCCACTAGGCATTCATAAGCTCAGTCTAGAGAGAGAGGCCAGCAACAAGCAACCAGAAAAGTTTCCGTCAGATGAGAAGTGTTAAGTAAGGAACTACATGAGCAGAAAGATTAAATAGGCTCATTCTGCGTAGGGCAGTGGTTCTCAGCCTTCCCAATGCCGAGACCCTTTCGTGTAGTTCCTCATGTTGGGGTGAGCCCCCAACAATAAAATTATTTCCGTTGCTACTTCATAACTGTCATTTTGCTACTGTTATGAATTGGGCCACCCCTGTGAAAGTGTCGTTTGAGCCCCAAAGGGTCGCAACCCACAGGATGAGAACCACTACCTTAGAGGGCTTCATAGAGAAAAAGCAAGTTGATTCCGATTAACAGTGGCCCTAGAGGGTTTCTGAAGCTGTAACTGTTCACAGGAGCAGCCAGCTTTATCCCTCTGTCTCACAGAGGGTGGCTCAGTTTGAAGTGCTCGCTGACCTGTCTAACAGCGACCCCAGGACCCCTTTCCCAATCAAAGAACCAGGCCCAACCCTGCTCAGCTTCCCAGATCAGAGAAAAACAGGGGTGTGTATGGGGGCAGGGTGGTGAGGGAAGTATGGCTGTAAATCCAGGGCCCCTTACCAAACCAAACCCACTGCCATCAAGTCAGTTCCAACTCACAGGGTGCCCACAGGACAGGGTAGAACAGCCCCTGTGAGTCTCTTGAGACTACGACTTCCTACCGGGGCAGAAAGCCTCCTTCCTTTCCCCACAGATCGGCTCATGGTTTCAAACTCCTGACCTTGCAGTGAGTGAGCAGCCCAGTATGTAACGTAGGACCCCACCAGGGTTCTTCATAGAGAAAAGCATATTTAAATTGCCTCGGGGGTAAATGACGACATAACAAGAACGAGAGTTCTAGGCAGAGGGTCCAAGAATAAAGGCAGAATTGTGAACTCAAGTGTGGGTGGGTGTGGTGTGGTTTGTTGGCAGGGCCGAAGAGGGGACCAAAACCCAACCAAACTCAATGCCATCGAGTCGATTCTGACTCACAGCCATCCAGGACAGAGCAGACCTGCTACTGTGGGCTTCCGAGGGCATGTCTACAGGAGCAGAAAGCGAATGAATAGTGCGTTGATTTGGTTACTCATAACCCACCAGGCCACCTTGAAGCTCGAGGTGGGGCAGGCTAGTCACCTCGGAATAGACTGGAATCAATTGGAAAGCCCTTCAATTCCCGACTGAAAGCTTAGCTTGTTCCTAAAGATTTTAGGCAGTGCGATACAGAATGTGGTTGACTGGGGCTCAGGAAGACTAAAAATTCATTTTAAGACGGTAGCAGTAATCAAGGTGAGAAGTTCTAGCCAGCAGAAAAAATTAAAAGGGAAAATGTTAAGGCCCATTGTCTAGGTAGGATTCCTCGGTAGTCCGATGTGAAAGGACAAGGTCATTTTGAGGTGGAGTACGAGTGTGTGTGTCCAAAAAGGGCAGGTGACACTTGTAAGGGAGAAGGGGACATGAAGCATGGTTTGCTCCGGTTTTACAAACCAATAGGCAGGCTTCCAAGCCATGAGAAAATTAGCAGCTTTGGGATTGCCCCACGACTGTAAAGATGGTAGAGTTTGGGAAACGCACAGGGGCAGTTTTACTCTATTCAACAGGGCTGCCGAGTTGAAATTGATTTTGCAGTGTTTTAAGGGTTCCCCCCCCCCCTTAACATGTATGAAACAGCTGAAGTGGGTGGGACTTATTTAAGGGGAGAAAGATAAGGAATAAATGCCAAGTAACAGCCAATATTTAAGGGGCAATTAGAAGTGGCTAGCTAGAGACTACTACGGGGGCTCTGGTGGTGGTGTTGCTGCTACCCCAGAGGGGCGGCAGTCTGAAGCCATTAGTGGCTTTGCAGGAGAAAATATCTGGCAATTTTACTCTGAGATTACAGCTGGGGAAACCTTAAGGGGCCAGAGAGCTGACTCTTTGTCCCAGACTCACTGAGTCAGAAAGGAGAACAACGTGGAGAAACAAAGAATAGTCAGAGGTGGGAGGAGAACCAAGAGTGTTCGGTTCACCCTCTAAGAAAGCTTTCAGATGGAGTGGTCAACAGTGGGACATTGTTGCCGAGAAGTCGAACAGACTCAAGCCTCAGATCACGGGAGCAGGCTGCCAGCAGTTGAAGGGTAATTTTCGTCATAGGACATTACTGAGCAATGACTATAGATCAGTAATCAGAAATGAAAGAACTAGATCAGTTGTTCGAAGAGGAAGCAAGATTTTTCAAAATGGGGTAGTGCGAGGGAACGAAGCACACTTGCGGGCTGACAGGACCAAATAGAGGGGGTGGGGCTGCATGGAGAGATTATAAGTGAGACAAAGAACAGGAGGAGGCCAGAGAACATGGAGGCGAGAGCCAAGCGTGTCTGCAAAGGAATCCTCTTTCCTAGGAGTGTGTGTGTGTGAACTGCTAAGTATACGTTTAGAGGAAGAGCCCAGTGAAGGGATACATACTTCTTTCATCTGCTGAAGGAGAAATGTGCAATTAATGCTATCTCGATCTCTTGAAGGACTTGGTGGTGAATCTTTTTTTTTTTAAAGCCTTTATTCCTCAGCCCACCCAGCACATAGTTAGGGCTCAATGAATGTGTACTGAATGAATGGGTGGCACAGCTACTCAAGTCCACACAAAATAAAACCTGCCATAAAGCCAAATGTTGTATTGCTCGTGGCCACCTAAGGAAAGCAAATGACTGATTTTACCCATGGCTGACAAACTGCAGCAAATTAAACGAGCAAAATAATGGAGAAAGTTGGTAACTGGAGAATGAACTAGCCAAGCATTCTTTGATGGGTAATAAAGAAAAACCAGAGCCTGAGAGGAAACTGGAAAAGCTAACAGTATCTTCTATTTCAACTGGGGGGTCAGGGGAGCCATGGTTCCCATTTAATCATGATAAACAAGGTTTTGTATTAACGGAATGTACTTAATATACAAATGGACTTTAAAAGCTCATGGGAAAGATAATGGATTTCACAAACTTTTTGAAGACCCCTCATGTAAAGAACCAAGGGCTTTTATAAAAAATGATTTTAGAACTGGTGCAAAACATCTTATCAGAAAAAGCTCAAACCCCAACAGAATGGAGGAATGTCACACACACACACACACACACACACACACACACACGGGAGCCAACCATAATGCATGATAAATATGCAACTTCAGCAATACAAATGATTGAATGGGTAATCCTAAATAATGTATGCAGTGTCCTTTCCAGGAGGTAAAGCTTTGTACCCTTATCCCACCCCTACCAAGGGTGGGCTAGATTGGTTTGCTCCCCAAGAATGGATTTGCGGTGTGTGTGTAGACAAACACTACCTGTACAGTAGGAAGACCTGTCAACCACCACTCCATAATCAAGTCACCGGTGAACATTACCATCACCAATGTCATGTGAGCATCACACACCCAATACTATGAAGGGAAACATCCCCTCTGTGGTATTTTCCAAAAAACGGTAAGCTGAAAATCATAGGAGAAAAACAAGCCCAGGACACGTGGGCAATATTCCCTCCAGATTAAGATCATTAAAAACAAGGAAAGTCTGAGAAACTGTCACAGAACAGACTAGGTAAACATGACCACTGCATGCAATCTGGTACCTGGATTGGCACCTGGAACAGGCCATCAATGGGGAAAATGTTGAAACCAAGGTAAATCTGGAGTTGAGCTAATATACCAATGTCAGTTTTAGTTTTGACAGATGTACCCTGGTAATGGGGGGGGGGGGTTTGCAGGGTGGGAGATGAAGGAGAGGTATATGAAAATGCTGTACTATTTTTGCAAATTTCGATAAATCTAAAGTTATCCAAAAAATAAACAAACATTAAAAAGTCGGAGTGACCTTCTTCGCTGGGTCCTTCACATTCTATGAAGCTGTGGCGCTCGCTCATTTGGCCCTGGGATGGCTTACCTGGAAGGCAAGTGGGGTACATCTGCACTGATGGGCGTGTACAGAAGCACAACGTATTACGGTCATACACCTCTGTTGGTTTCAGGATTTGAAGTTACACCAACGACATGTTCATTCCTCCCATGCCCAACCCTCAACACACCAGAGACATAGCTTTTTATTAAAAAAATTTTTTTTCTTTAATTGGTTTACAAAGAAGCTACAGACTACATCGAAACTAATCTTTGTACAAAAAGGCCAAGAGAGAGAGAGAGAGAGAAAGAGAGAGAGAGAAGAGCCCCAGAATACCCAGAGACAAAGGTGGGATGGGATGGGAACAAGAAAGGAAGATGAGGGAGCAGGATGAAAGTGAACGACGAGAGAGTAGCTTCATACATAAACAACAGCAAGGAAAGGGTAAGAGTAAGATGAGCGAGCATTTTAAAGTATTTCCCCACACAGCCCTGGTGATAATCGGATTGGAACCAACAACAAACACAGCATGAGATTAAGAAGTTTAAAAAGGCAACAGTGGTATGAAGACTGGCCATTGCCAGTGTGGAGAGAAATAAACTTGTTTCAGGCACCAGAGATGGGAGCACTGCCCCACCCCCCAGAGGATGGCGGGAGGGAAGAGGGGGCAGGCCCTGGGCAGCTGCCATGGGTGTGTCTAGAAGGGGTCTACTCGGTCCGTCTCAGCATTTCCTCCAGTCTTTGTGCCCTAGATTGGGGAAGGCTACGGGAGGCCAATCGGACAGAGCGGGTCGAGCAGAAATAGGAAGTTGTGCCCTTGTGTTCAAGAGCAACTGCTGGAAAAGTTGAAGGCTGCACACAGGAAGCCCAAACCCCAGGTGAAGGCACACTGTAATTCCTGAAGGTGAAATATGGGCATAGACACCCCAGGAGAGGTAGCAACAAAGTTCTCACTACCTGAAGCCCCAGCCTAGGCCCATTTTTGTGTGATCGGGAGCTGGGACTTCAGGGAGTTGAGGGACAGATCACCACATCTCTTATTCCCTTAGCTGGGACAAGGCAGGCTGGGGCTGTTTGAAGAGCGAAGGGGAGAAGGGGACAACATACTCATTTCTCTCATGTGAACACTGTTGAGGAAATCTTTTGGGGTTTGGGGAATTCAGATTGGAGAAGACCTAGGGAGGAACGGAGCCAAGGACTCCCCTTCTCCTTTCCCAGCCTGCAATCTGAAGCAAGTGAGCCAAATCTGGAAGAGGGAGTCAGAACTTAAGTTTAGGGTTGCTTGATGTCTTCCTGGGGCCTGGTATTTAGGGACGGCTGATAATGGGGAAAAAAACAGGTCAACCTCAAAGCTGGTCTGTGCTCACCCCCCTAGAAGAGGTCTGTACCAGGAGCAGAGCCAAGTGAGGCAGCAGGGAGAGCGCACACAGACTCCCAAACAAAAGTAATAACCTGCCCATGTTTTATCAGCGGTTTTCAAAAGCACTGTTTTCCGGGGTTGGAGAAGTGCCATATCCTCCTCCCTTCCCTCAAAGCCATTGCTACCACCTTCCATCCTGCCACGGGGTTACTGGCTGGCTCGCTCACTGCTAAGGGAGATGACTCGCTGAGATTACAGGGTTCTCCTCCGGACTCCAACAGACAAGCAGGCTTTGGTTGGAAAAGGGAAGTTGAGCTATGCAAAAGCACCCTCACTCACTGGAGGCCGCTAGGCTATCATTTCCTTGGTACCGAATTCCTAAAAATCATCAATCTGATCCCAAGGTCCCAAAGGCATCAGGGTACTTAAAATTGAGTAAAAACAAGTAGCACCAGGGCTCCCACAAAGCAAAACAGGGGCCTGATTAGCGCCCCTAGAAGAACCCCTCAAACAGTATATAAATTTATTGCGTCCTAGCAAAGATCTGCAACTTCCAGTATTCACATAATGTCAAGATCTTGACAATACAAAATATATTCTGAAAGTCAAACACCTGCAGTTCATAGTGCTTTCTCAGGTTTGTTAAAAAAATACAATGCTTAGTTTCCTATATAGGATATACAAAAGCAAAAAATATATATATATATGTATATAGTAGAAATAAATCAGCCATAGTAATTTACAGCTTTTGTCTCCAACCCTCCCCCAATCATAATCTTTACCCCACATTTCAGTCTATACTTTCTGGAATCAAAGGTTCTATTTATTCCAAACCAGGATGAGAACCATCCAATAAGTTGCATATCTACACAGCACCCGCAGGTCCCTGAAGGAAGATGGTGTGGGTTGTTACTGTCTGCATACAAGTGAGACAGTCCAATGATGGGCAGATGAGCGTGAATGGGTCACTTGAAAAGGTAAATGTATGAGAACATTAGCATTACCACTCCTCTGGGCACCCGGGCCCTGAAAGGTTTGGTCATTAAAAACAAATAAATTAAAAAGCCATTCATGGAGAGAAACAAAATGAATCAGAATCAATTTGCCTGTCAGTTCCATTATTTCTGCTGGACAGTTCAGGGAAAGGGGAATTTCAGTAATGAGCTCCTGACTCAAGGAATGTAGGCTCCTATGTTTCTGTGGGAAAGGCAGAGGCACCCTGCTGCTGGGAGACAAAAGCAGACGCCAAAGAGGGCAAATGGTAAAAATTTGGTGTCAATCATTCATTGGAATGCTGATGAACTGGGCTGTGATAAACCAGCAGCTTTTCCATCCAAGAGGATCCTTCTCATTTAACCATCAAAAAAACGGTCACCCTCAGCACCACTAAGCTCCTTTCACATTCATCACTTCCTACAGGAGGAGAGTCCTTCCTTGAAATGCTCTAGTAAAATACTGCACACTCCCAGGAGTCTTCCTGCCCCTTTCCTCCAAGCGACGCCAAAATACATGATTACCGACGTAAAATAAAGGCTCCGAGTTCTGCCTTTCAGGGTTTGACTCAGGGTTTCATAGTGGCTGGGCGTGGATGACTTTTACTTCACATTAATAGAATTGGGGGGTGGGGGGGGGGGGGGGGTCCTTGCAATCGTTCCTGAGTATCGAAAACAGTAAGCCTGTGAGAAATGCCCAAATGAAGCGGACTATACTTTAGAGTAATAGTTCTCCTATTTCAGATTAAACAATACAAACTTACCCACGCCCTAATTTAAGTGGACTTGATATAAAATGCATAACAGATTCATAGCATCATCTACCTGAGCCAAGGTAAACAGACCTATACAGAGAACTAAGGCTCTGCTACAGGGTCTGGGTGTTGGTTCCACTTTCAGTTACAAAAGTCTCCCTTTGAAAAGTGCAGTCACATATCCCCCTTTTAGAAATGATTTAGCAGTAAGCAAAAGAAATAACCTCAGGAACACACCAGGCTTTTATGCTAATTTCTAGGTTAACGGGCCTGAAAGGCATTTTGATCTGGATTTGATTCACTTTCCAACAATTTCCAATATAATTCTTCACCTGTGTGTAGATATATATACACGCGAGGGCTTCAAAAAGTTCACGGGAAAATCCCATTCTCTTCATTTCTTTTTCCGTGAACTTTTTGAAGCGCCTTCGTTCAGGCACATGCACACATTCACACACAGGCACACACAAAAACTTCACCTTCTATCAGATCGGGGAACACTTTTATTGCAGGTCTCTTAGTGTTGGCCAACAGAAACCTAACAGATTACACACATCCACACAGCCATTTCCAGACTTCCTCACAGTGAAAAGGCTCTCTGACAAGATATCAGGTCGAGAGAGAAAATGTTTTAATGGCTGGGTCTTGAGGACAATTCTGGTTGCATGTAAATCTCAGTGCCAAATGCACCAAGAGTTCCCTGCCGCTATAATTTTTTGATTAGTCTCTTATGGAATCAGGCCATGAAGAAAGGACGATTTCTTCCAATCTCTTCTCTAAACCACAATGTTAGGACAAGACTTGTTTTTGTTCTGGGCTATCATTCCCATGACCCTGTGCTTCCTTTTCCCTTAGGAACTACCCTAAGTGCATACAGGAAGAGTAAAGGGAAGAGTAACGAAGAACCACGGCCTCGCCACTAGCACACACCCTGCAGTTCTACAGAATGGAAATCCAGAACAGATTTCTTAGAGGGTGCTTCTTAGTAACACAAGGGCAAAGAAACTCTGAGCATGTTCAAAAGAAGAAGTGGAATTCCTCACAAATCAAAGCCTGCACTGGAAGGTAGACAACTATAGAAAAGTCCAAATACTCCACCAACTCCTGAACCCAACGACTTCACACCACCTCCTCTTCTGGAACACATCACACTCCGACTGAAAGCCCCAGCTTCTTATTTAACCATCTTTTGACAGCTTATTCATTCTGATCCCAGACTATCCCCATCAAAGGGTCTCCTGTCTCTTTATAGAGGAAGACTCCTGAGTCTCCATGCTTACAACAGTTAGGGGAGGGAGGGAGGTGCCTTTGACCCTCCAGCACCAAAAGGGTGCCTGCGTCAGTAGTTTTTTTTAAAACACTCCTTCCCTGCTCCCTCAGACATCAGCCTGGGCCTCGAGGATTCTCTGCTCTGTGGCTAGGACTTAGGACTTTTAAAAGACAATATTGACATGAGTCTCCTCCAGGGATCACTACCAAAAACATAACATGAAGTGATCAGGTAACAGAAGTGGAGACAGACAGTGTTGAGTCAGGAAAGGAGTGCAAGAAGCTGATCCCAAATAAAGACAAAATTAAGAGAGGAAAAACATTATGTCTGTATATATAAACTAAAAGCAGAGCAATATGAATGCTTAATCTGGTGGGAAGCCAAGACAACATCTACAGAAAAGCTTGATGTGTCACAACAAGGCTCAGCCATAGGGAAATAAGGCGATATAAAAAATGACCAAGGTATTTTGGTCACAGAATGGTCTCCCTCCTCCGACCAGCCAACCCTGTGAATGCATCTCTCTATATATTTATATATATATTTATATAGAATATAGAATCTGTTTTTTGTTAAAAAGTATTTCAATGATCATATATATTTATCAAGGCATGATGGCTTTAGGAAAGGGGAGGGAATCCATCATGGGGGAGCTGAGATGGAAAAGGCAGGAGGGCAGCTGGGGTAAGAAGTATAAGAAACTGTCTGGGGTCAAACATATGCTCATCAAAGTGTGGCACCAACAGAATTGTCATTAATGTTCCCCACTTTAGGGAGGCACTGATGATATAGGTGGGTGCCAGAACCCCATCTTTCTTCTCTTGCATTTCTGCCCCCAATTCTTCCCCAACACCATGCATTTTAATGCCTCATGGCTCTCTCTCCCACATGTCTCTTGGACCCATGCTACCTTGCATCCCGGGGTTGATGGGTATGGCCCATATGTCTCTGCCCCCGGATGCCTCATCTCAGAAGCCATTCCCACTGATATTAATGGACTGCAGATCCGCCACCTGCATCACGTTGATGCCACTGTTGGCAAGGCGGGCAATACCCTCTGGACAGATGGCTTCCATGGCTACCATATTGGTAGTAATAAGGGTAGAAGGAGTGGCAGTGCCACTGCCTTCTGAACCTGCCCCACTGTCCAGGGGCAAAGTGCCCACACTCAGGGCGACACCTGGGCCCCCTTTCTTATTCTGGTGGGTCTTGATATGCTTTGACAGATGGTCACTCCTCATGAAGCGCTTGGGGCACTCAGGGCAGGCAAATTTCTTCTCTCCTACAGAAATGAAGAAAAAGAAGGTAAGGAATTAACATAAGGGAACCTTGCCTTAATGCCACCACACTACATTTATATTAGATAAGAACAAGAGAACGCGACATCATTAGCTTTTAGGAAGAAAAAATAGATACAGGCTGGGGAGTACTTAGAAAGGAAGATGGGCCACAGCAGAAAGTCAACAAATGATGATGACTAATAGGTCACATTCTCCCCCTGCAAAGGTCCACTTGAAAAATTTTCCAGATTACCCAATTCCATTAGTGACCCACATATTTATTATTTTCAATGTACAGTTCTGAAAATTTTTAGTTATTTTACAAGCACATTTGTGTTTTCCACTGTGGGCTATTAGTTCATCGCTGTTCCTCTAGTTCTGGCTCACCTGTGTGTGTACGTTTGTGCCTCTGCAGCTCATCTGAACGAGTGAAACGTTTCCCACAGTATGACCAGGTACACATGAACGGCCTCTCTCCTGTGTGCCAGCGCAAGTGTGCTCGTAGGTGTGACGTCTTGCCATATACTTTGCCACAACCTTGGATGTGACAAATGTGCTGTTTCTTTTTGCCAGGGTCCCCAGAGCCTCTGCAAGTAAGGACACAACTATTCATTATTCATTCTAGAGACAATTAAAGCAGCAAAAAGTATCCACAGTAACTGCTTAAAACACTCAAAATTAACTCTAAATTATTACTGTTGTTATTTTTAACCTTTAATGTCAGGAGATTAATCTTAAGTCAATTCTAATGAATGATTAATAATCCAAATTATATGGGTTTTTTTTTCCTCCCCTACTAGATATTTACCCTTTCTTGCTCTCTTATTGCTTAATCAATTTTGATGTTTAAATGTTTGGCTATCTGATGAGATAATTACTCATGGGACTTGAATAGTTTGTGAGGCTTTTTCTTATATTTTTCAGGAAGTTTAAGCCACAATTGCAAGCATTTTCCACAGGAAATGCTGTAAATATGGTGATATTTTTGGCTAGGAACTTATTTAATGATCAGGATGTTCTTTCTTTTTAATACTTAGTAGAAAACTTAAGGAAAATATAACATTCTATAACTATAGAACTTTTCTCCTAGAAAAGTTAAACGGTTAAACTGAAATCTAAAAAGCCAAGAAAATATGAGGGGTTTCAGTGCAAGAAAAAGATGTACAAACCACTCGTAGATATGAACCAACTTCACAGAGCCTGCTATATTAAAAATTCAAGATGCATAGAATGATTCATAACAACAAATGGATTCTACTTTGGGATATCCATTAAATATTATTACTACTGTATTTTATTAAAGATGTCTAAGGTTATCTGGAAGTATTTATTGTTTCTTATGCATAGAAAGATATATTTTATACTAACTATAAATTTAATTCAGACAAACTTTGGAATGAAGGTTATTTGGAACCAGGGACTGCTTGTATTAATTTTTTCCCTCTGTAAGGAGCAGTCTTGGGTTTTAACAGTACATGTGGAGGCTTCAAAAAGTTCATGGTAAAATGGAACTGAGAGAGAATGAAATTTTATCCTTGAACTTTTTTTTTAAATGATTATGGGAAACTAACTGGATACAAGTCAGAATCTGAAATGTTCAGGATAGTTCTTTTGTCTGCAGCAGTGCCTTTTTTCCGCCAAGGCAAGAGGCACACTCGTGTCTGGTACTTGGCCTCTGTCTCTGCCCTGCTCAGCAAAAATGACAACTCTCTGGGTGCTCACAAATGCCCAATGGGTACCTAACTGCAAGCAGCCTCTTGCCCGAAGGCACTCCACTTTACGAGTTCCGTGCTTCTCGTGCTGCTTTTCTCAGGGCAGCAATCTTGAATGGGCTTTCCTCGTGGCTTTTTCTTTTACCCTTGAACTTTCTGAAGTTCTCTCCTGTTAGAATAAAAATCTCTAATGGATTTGATGGCTGTTCCTGTTGCTGCCTGGAGCCCCAGGCAATGAGATTTTAGTCCATCGGATAGCAAACCTGACTTGTCTTCACTGGGAGCACTGTGGGATAGGTTGGCTGTCCAGTAGTGCCTCTGATTTTTGCGAAGTCAAACAACTGTATATTTTTAATAAAAAAAAAAACTCTAATGGAAGTGAAATCACAATTAGATGTAAATCAGAATTTCCTTCAGAAATTCAAATCCACATTAAGTTTTATTAGAGGGAAACTCCTTTCTCCAGTACTTTTGATGCAGGAGGACCCTGCTTTTCCTGTGATTTAAAGTAACTTATTTTTCGTTTTGGTATTTTTCCTGTTTCGTATTTTTGTACTTGTTTGTATTGGGACAAAACCTTGTAAAGATTTTTCAAAGGCATTTAAAAGACATAAGCGGTTTTGTTAACTCTTACTATTCTCTTTTTAAAGTCGTGACTAGAAGGAAACAGCATTCAGAACTCTCTAATAAAATCCAAATACAAAGGAGGGAATGGTATCAACTTAAATTAGAAACTTAAAATCCATTTGCAGGGTCTCCACATGGATAAAGCCTCAGGTGAATCTCTTCTGACCAGAGTGGAGGGATGTGAATAGCCTTGCTATCAGACAGCCAGCACTGTAAAGTCAATTATGGCTGATGTTAGTTAGGTTAAAATACAATTGAATTAAATTGTATATGTGAATTAAATGCCAATAAAGCTATTCTAAAAAGTTTAGAGCTCTCTAGAGATATTACATAACAGATATTACTAGTGAGGAAATGCATCAGGCCTTTAGTCTGTAGGATATTTTAGATTCCCTAATGGAAAATTTCCCTATCTAAAGTAAGCATTTGTGTCTATTATAAAGGAAAGATGAAGGCTCTTTGTCCTTACACATTTGTGTACATATAATTTTGTTACCCGCATCTGGAAGCAGACGACTGGTAAGCACTGTCAGGCCTGCTGGTGTCAGGTCACTGTCTTCCCCTCTACCCCACCCCCATAGTTTTATTGGCACTTCATCCATGTCATACAGCTCAGTAAGTCAATCATATCAAAGAGCTGTACAATGACCACCACCAATCAATTTCAGGGCATTTCCTCCCTTGTACTCATTGTTACTCATGTAATTATTTTTTTAATTGTAGCAAAAATGCATACAACAAAATATTCTCCAATTCAACTTCTTCATGTTATAATTCAATGCCACTAATATACTCTTTATGTTGCACAACCATTATCGATATCCTTTTCCAAATTACTCTACCACCATTAACACAAACTCAATGACCCCCTAAGCAAAAACTCTTCCTCTTTCACCCACGGTAACCACTGGTCAAATTCGTTTCTTTTTTTCAGTAGTTTTCTTGATATATTTATTCTTGTATTTCTAGGTCAAAACAAGACCTACTGAAGTCCAGGGTCCTACGAGTCAACAGGGGTGTGGTGTGGGGGTGTAAATGAAAAAGCTAGAGCTGGAAACCAGAGTTTTACAATGTAACGAATTCATATGTATTGTCTCTGATCCTTTGGCAAAATTGCTGAATCTTAATATTAAAATAAATTAATCCTCCTCCTCTTATCTCCAAACCCAGGAAAATTTCTTTTTTCATATATATATTCTTAAAAGACTAAGTGGGCAAACTCACCTTCCTTCTGTGTCTTTACAGTAGGGGCAGGTGCACGCTTCCCTGCGGTTCCTCCGACCGGGTTGGGGCTGGGGATCGGGGCTGTTCTCTCCTTCTTCTCCACCTGCTGTGTCATCATGTATTCCATCACCACCAGCCCCATGGAGGCCAAGCTGAGCTCCATGATCACCTGAAATTAGGAAAGATCAAGATAGAAAACAGAGGAGCTGCTACTGCGGCCACATTCACTAGATATCCCATGCTTGCTATCTATGATATTCCATGTCTGCCTGATATCGAATGAATCAATTTTTGAAAACAAGCAAAAAAGATATTGAAAGTATGGCGAATCTCACTTCAAACAAAACAAATATATGTGTCACGTATATACACACACCCAACTCGCTGGTTGCTGTCAGGTGCCACTGAATCAGCCCCGAGCCCTCAGTACGAGAGAGAGAGCGCGCGCACACTGCTCACGGTCCTGTGCTTCCTCCCAATTGTTCCTGTGCCTATGCAGCCATGATGCCAGTCAACTCTTACAGTGAAGTTTACTAATCTCCACTCTCTTTTTATAGACATTGTTTTAAAAAGGAGGCAGGGTTTTTTTGTTTTCAAAAGGGAGGCATTTTCACATAGATCTGGTAAAAGGGTATAACCTTTGTAAAGGCCAATTTAGCAAAATTAATAAAAATCACCTTATTTGAACCAGTAATTCTGCTATGAGCCAGAACACTTTACGGATGTACACACTGTTGAGTACACAAAGATACGTATTAATATTTTCTGCAGTTTTATAGTAACAAGGTTAGAAATAATCTTTAAAAAACCCATAATCTAAATGTCAATAATTAACTCAAACTCATTGCCTTCAAGCTAATATTGACTCACAGTAACCCCATAGAACCGATCAGTACTGCCCTATGAGTTTCTGTGATTGTCATCTTTCGTATTGGGATTTAATACATCACGCCATAGTTCAGTCGCATCAAGGAGCACTCAATCTGTTTCCAGACAGTCTTTCTACATGGGCTCCTGGACATCATCTCCTTTGTGGACTATCACTCTTTCCCGGGGTCGAAAGCCTCATTTTTCTCCCTCAGAGGGGCTGGTGCTTTCAAACTGCTTGTCTTGCCTAACAACTATGCCACTAGGGCTCCTTATTAAGAAATTAGTTAAGAAAATTATGGAAAAAATTTAAATTATCAAGTGTTCATGAGGGAGGAGGGTAGGGAAGGGGGGAAATGAGCTGATACCAAGGGCTCAAGTAGAAAGAAAATGTTTCGAAAATGATGACGGCAACATATGTATAAATGTGCTTGACACAATGGATGGATGAATGGATGGATTGTGATAGGAGCTGTAAGAGTCCCCAATAAAATGATTTTTTTAATTAAAAAAATTATGATAAATTTCTATAATAGACTACCATGTAGCCACTAGAAAGGAGGAGGCAACTGTGTACTATTATAGAAAGTTGCCCAACAAACCTTTTAGTCCCAGGTATCTCCATAAGTGCTATGGAGCCAATCAAACGGAAATGCGTTTGTTTTATGAAAATAAGACTTTTAAGAGATTCTGAACAAGAAAGCACACAAAACCAGCCTGAAGGTCAAATGACACAGAGAAAAATTCATTACTCTACCTTCCCCAAATGAGTAAAATAGTGGCTGAATATGCAGCAGAAAATAGTACAGATATATTTTCAATTCAGAACAACAAGGAGAGGGCTGAGGTCCAAGGTAATTCTGTATATACACAGAATTATAGCCCAGTAAGGCTTTGGTTTGGGACTGGATGCTTCTTAGAAGGTTAGACCAAGAAGAAAATATCAATCATACAATCTAGTTATGTCACCTGATAGCATTTGCTTAACAGCTAAGAAGTCTAAGCTCTTGGTTTTACATTTTACCTGCCCCACTCTTTGCAGTTCATTAACATAATTTTGAGTACCATGCCTAACAAGAAGCTCTCCTTTGTGCCGTCCTTTAAATTCTACCACCTGGATGAACAATCTGGAGGAGAAAACAACGGGACTGACAGTTCCGGGGGGACATGGGAGAGGGAGAGGAGGGGGGAAGGGAAGAGATGTTAACAAACC